AAAAATTCATGTAAGGAATGTATAAGGAAAGCCACTATCTGTTATAGTCGAAATATATTCAAGATCAATAACTACCAAATGATATATAATATGTTTATATAACTCATTGAATTTCAGTTTAAATCAATGGATTCAGTTTTTCGAAAAAATCGAAATTTTTCTGTACAAACTACAAAAACCATATAAAATATCATCCCCTATATCTATATGCTATTAATGAAATTTAAAAAACTACAATTGCAGAAAGTCTTAGATAAATTGTGGTCTACAAATGCTGAAAGTTTCATGCGATTTAGAGATAGTTGTGGATTTTGTAGTAGAGACACCATGGATTTAGCCATATTTACATATCTATCATTTCTAGGTCCTGCTCCAATGTTGAATGATAATTATGTAAGTTATAGTGTCATTTTATAGAAATGGTTTATTTGATTTCTATATTCTTTAGATTGTAATCGGTGAGGTTATCAGTGGGATGAATATTTTTCAATCGATCAATACTAAAGGTAGATTCAATTGATTTGATATCACACATAATTCTAATCACTCATGTGTTTTTCACTTTTTAGGTGTTCATGGTATGATGGATGATGATGGTGGTGATCGACCATCTGATTCTATTCGTATTTATTCATGTGGTGTTGACACGTAAATCAATTTATCTATTTTCAAAACTGTTAAAGTTTAATAACCAAAAGCCTTTTTTTTTGTTTTTTTTAATGATAAATAGAAGAAGTAAACAAATATATAAAAAAGAACAACAATGTTTGATAAAAGTGAATAATATTTGTATATATATATAGAGAGAGAGAGAGAAGAAGGAAGGAAACAGAAAAGAGAAAGAATTTTTTTTTCGTTTTTTCTCTAAAAAAAAATATTGTTTCTCACTCGCTCAAAAATTTTTTCTTTATTTTGTATTTCATCGATAAAGTCATGTTTTTTCTTATTGTTCATTTCTTTACAAAAGAAGAATATTTAAAGAGCATAATTTTGTTTTGTTTACAAATATTAAAGAAGTTGATGAACATCAAACAAATATATCAACAACAACAAATTATAATATACATATTGATTCATTTAATTTTTCATCAACAAATGATCAACAACATTCAACAATAATTAAAAAATCACGTATAAAAAAAGAATCTAAAGCATTAACAAGAATTATTGTTAAAGATGAAACACTTTCACCTAATTTTACACGTCATAAAAAAGGAACAAAAAATTTATCAAATACACAATTAACAACAACAAATAATTTACAACCAATGGAATATATATCTGTACCTTATGCATGGCAAATAAGAATATTAGCACCAGATCTTGTTGTTTATCTTAGGTTAGAATATATATATATATTCAATTAATATATTTCCTATTATAATTTTTAGTCCAACACATGTTATACTCGATTCATTAGATGCTATACGTCAATATCTTGAAACACCATCATCATATAAATGTGATCTTCAATTTCCACTTATTGTTGATAAGGTTTGTTTGTTTCGAAATCGTAGATGATTCTTAACTTTTTTTTGCATCATTCCTTGGATGAACGAACGAGGATAACCATTCCAAATACTTTCATTCTCGAGATATGTTTTGTTTTTTTCTAGTCGATTAAAAATTGTGTCCCTAATAAATTCTATTATAGGTTTTCAATTTTGATTCAACAATAAAATCAAAATCTTGGGAAGTAACACAAGTACTTGAAGGTACACATTGTCGACAAAAATCGAATATATTAGAAATGGCAACATTAACAAATTGTATTGATTCATTTTGTGAAACAGAACAAAAATCTGGTAAAATATTTTTTTTGTATTTAAAATTTTTAATATATAAATTTTAAATTAATAGTTAAACGTCGAAAACGAACACATACTGAAACAACAAATGGAAATGTATTTGTTTGTGCATCAAATTCATCAAATATTCTACAAACAAATAATGAATCAACTATTTTTGTTAATAGTACCAGTCAAACATCAGGTACTAAAAAAAATAAATTCTTTTTTATAATTTTCGTTTTATTTCGAAAAAAAATAGAAGGTGATCAATCGATGACATGGACTTCATAACAACAAACTAGTGTTACTCCACCGTCGAAACGACCACGTGGTCGTCCTCGTAAAACAGCTGTTACTCCACCAGTTATTACTAAATTAACTATTAAACCATCATTACATGATTCACATCAACCTGTACCATCATCAATATTATCTCCACCTGCATCTGTTTCATCAATATCACAAACAAATCTTGTTCATAGAAATTCAATATCACCATCAACACATCATCAAAATAATAATCTTCGTTATATTAATGATAATGTATTAACTCCATCATCAACAACAGATACAAATGTTATTGCTCGTGTACCATCTCTATTTGAACAAGTTAAAACAAAAACAAATGAATCAACATTTGCTGTTTTATCTGATGTACAAAATGTTCTTCTTTTACCAAATAGAGATACAAATAATAATAATAAACGAGTACGTGTTGAATCATCATCATCATCATCATCAATTGTATCAACAACTGGTAAACCTGTTACATTAAATGTAAATGCACTTAAACCAGATTTTGTTCGATCACCATCTGCTGCACAAAAACCATGTACAACAACAACATCAAATCAAATTGATGTTATATCATTAATGAGTACAAATAATCAAACACAATTAATGGTTACAAAAACAACACCAAAACCTATAGCACTAATACCATCAACAACAACAACAATTAATTCTGATGAATATACATTAATAAAATCTACAAATGAACAAACAAATGATTAAACACAACCATTAATGATTGATTTTAATGATCCATCAACAACTAGTTTTCTTTTATCAGCACTTGCATCAGGTGCTGCATCTGATTCAAGTGCTATTGTTAATCATCTTTTTCAAAAAGCACAAACACAACATAGTAATAATACATCATCATTATCACCACCACCATCATCAACAACAATTAAAAAAAAACTTCCTATTATTTCATCGAAATTAAAAAATTGTACAGAAACAACAAATTTATTATCGATGACAAATTCTACAACACGTCAACCTGTTGTACTTCATGTACCAACAACAACAACAATTACAAATGATTATAATCAACAATCACAACAAATTATTTTTAGTAGTAGTAATGGTGAAAGAAAACAAGCTCAACAAATATTTTTTATTAATAATAAACCATATATTATTCAACAAAAACTTACACATGATCAATTATCACAACAAAGATTGGTTCTAACGCCATCAATAACTCAATCAGATGGTTTGTTTAAAGTTGTTTTTTTTTTGTTTTTTTTTTGTTTTTTTCTATTCAAAATATAAAATTTTCACATAGAGTGGAACTTAATTTTTAAGGATCCCTACTCATAACAACGAGTGGCGGAAGGGAAAAGGTTAGCAGTAGCTGGAAGGATAAAAAGATCAACAATCATTGGGTACGTTTCCATAGCAATGGAGTGAGAGGATGGCCAGGTACGTTTCCATGGCAACCAAGAGCAATAGGCATCAGACTTCCTCGAAATCCAAATGGCTAGAATATGTTTGTGAATGTTCTAAGAGCGTTAACTGATCAAGTTATAACCTAGGGAAATACTCAATATCAGTATTGCTAAGCTTATCGAGATATATATAATAGTGTGTTGAAACCTGCGATTAGAGCACATCGGGTCCAAGAATTTCTGGACCTGGTCGAGTTCGAGTAGGACCCGATGGACTCTACCTGCTAAAGATATAATGGATATACTAGAGATTTTCACTTACCGTATTTTGTATTAGTATAATGAAGCTAAAGAATATATGTAAATTCCAGATTTTCACCATGAAGATGCTGTGCTGACAAACTTCTTATTTGGAATTTGTTGAAATAAATTTTTTTTTGCATATATTTATATTTTCTCATATATAAACCTAATAAAAAAGAAGTCTATGAGAACATTTATTATGTTTTTTTTCTCGTAGAAAAGTTGATCATCAACATCGCCACCTCATGCACCAGCACCAGCACCATTTGTTGTCGACTTAACGTCGATCAATACTGTCAATCATTTTGGCAGAGATGCTTCAAAAACGAGAACAAATACAACGTGAACAAGAAATTCAAAAATATTTGTCAAGTAGAAATATTTTCAAGATGTTAAATAAATCAAAATATCTTGAACTGTTCTGATTTCAGATCTGTCCAAAAATTGTTTCATCGATATTTCGATCAATCGTAGAATGTGTGATGAACGAGTACTTATTAAAGTATGTCAAAGATTTTATTGATCTGACAATATTTTTAATTGTTATTTAATCCTTTCTTTTTGTTCTAATTATTCGACGAATTAGTTCCTATGACATGTGGTAAGAAGAAAGTTTTATTTTACTTATCTGATTTTTACAATTATTCAATATTCAAAATCGATGAATAAGAGAAAGATTTTGATTTCATTTATTTGTTTATTTTGATAGATGCATTTCGAGTCACCTGCAGCAATCGATATGGATTTAGCTATGAAAATAGTCAAGTGAACTATTTATTGCCCAACAAGTTTATCAAAGGTAGATACATTATTTAAAATCAACAATAAGAAAAGATCAATAAATTATAATTTATTCTATATTCATTTTTGTTTCCTAGGTGGTCAAATCGATGTTTCCAGTCCTGAAGGTAACAGATAAACAAATGATATCATTTTAATTTCATTGAATGATTGTGTTTTGTTTGTTTTCTAATTTTCAGATTACTAGATATAGCCGGTCCAAAAGAAAAATCTACAATAATTCATGATCGAAAAGGATTGATTAGTATGGATATAACAAAATGCAATAATAAGTGAATTTATTATTACATTAGGTAATGATGTATGATGATTTGATCAGAATATATCTTTATATTTCTATCATTTCTAGGTCCTGCTCTAATATTGTATGATAACTATGTAAGTTATAACATGTCATTTTATATAAATGATTTATTTAATTTGTATATTCATTAGGTTGTATTCGGTGAAGTTATCAGTGGAATGGCTATTTTTGATTCTATTAATGATCATGGTAGATTCAATCGATTTGATATCACATATAATTCTAATCACTCATTTGTTCTTCATTTTTTTAGGTGTTCGTAATCAAGTTGAAACAGTTAATGGTGGTCAACCTTTTGATGCTATTTCAATTTATTCATGTGGTTACAAGTAAATCAATTTATGCAATTTCAACACATAGGTTGTTCTTCTCAGAACTGAAAGAATTTTTTTTTTGTTTTTTTTCTAAAAAGAGAAAAAAAAAAAAACTATAATTTCTCATGTGCTCAAAAAAGTTTTTCTTTTATATTTCATCAATAAAGTCATGTTGTTTTTCTTATTGTTTATATTCTTCACAAAAGAAGAATATTCGAAGAGTATAATTATTATTTTTTTTGTTTTTGTTTACAAATCATAATTAACAAATTCTTCTCACAATGGAGGTGTTTGTACTGTAAATTGAAAAACTCAAATATACTAGTATGAAAAAAAAAAGACTAGAGATAGCACTTTAACTTTAAATTTTAAATATTAAAATGGTTGAAGTTAAAGTAAACATTTCACTATAAAACAAAATTTTTATTAAAAATTCATAAAAGTGAATAAACATTTATGAAAGTACCTATAACTCTTCATGCACTGTAAAAATGGGATTATTCATAGGTAATCATCTACTATATAACGGGGGTTATCCTTGGGTCATCAACTACTATATAATGGAGGTACCCTTGTATCATCATCTATATATATATATAATGTTCAGTGTCTGTCTGTCTGTGATGGGTCAAAGGTTAAAGGTGAAAGATCAAATAAGGCTACAAGAGGAAGGTCCAACGGCTATTATATGGGGGTATCCATAGATCCTCAAGGGCGATCCTATAGGGTGCCAATAGATTTCCTCAAGAGCATTATATGGGGGTACATATAGGTCGTCAAGCGATATTATATAGAAGTACGCTTAGGCCCTCAACGGTCATCCTATGAGGGTACCAATTAGGGCTGTACAGCTCACGCTCATGCTCATATGAGCGCTCATGAGCGTGAGCGTTTTTTATTTAAATAAAGCACGAGTGTTTCTGATCACTTTTTTCAAGTTTATTCCTCGAAAATCGACATTGACGATTTTTCTGCCTGGGGTTTCTCTTAGGTATCATGAAAAAAAAAATTCTTTTTTTTTCACAAGTCAATATCAGATATAGTGGTAGATTGAGAGATGCTGATTAAGAATATTACAATGAAAGTTCTCGAAATTTGTTTATTTCTCGAATAGTCTTAACCACTCTGTGCACTGTATTCTTCATTATTGAGATCTTCATAGAATAATTATTCACTCAAATTTAGCCAAAAATATTTATCTTACCTAAAATTTTGAGTTCACTACGAATCTGAGCTTGTTACACCGAAAAAAATGTAACTTTTGAAAGAAAAAATGATCATTTCGGTGCAGAAATAGATCTTTTTTAAATACATAGAATTTTCTTTCGATAACTTTTTTGGGAAGTTACTGTTATCGTAACATGAAATTTGAACCAATTAGGATAATTTTTCAAGCTCTCACGGTTGATAACCGCAAAAATAATTGAAAATATGTATAACATAGTCAAAAACTCTAAATTCTAACAAAACTAACCGATTTGTCACTAGATTTGCCTAGATATGCTTGTTGTTCAGCATGAAACCAGTCTTCCTTAGGCGTCAAATTCGAAGTATACCCACGGAAAAATTTGGTTAGAAAAACCGCTTGAAATGGCGGTTTTTTTCGTTCGATCGCGGTTTTGCAAGAGGAAACCGCGGTATCGATGGGATAATCGCGGTTGGGAGCGGTTTTTCGGAACCGCGGTTCTCGGAAACCGCGTTGCGCGTATTCATAACGGCGGTTCTGAATACGGCGGTATTCAACGGTCTTAAAACTTGCGGTATGGTAATTGAAAACCGCGGTATTTTAATAGCACGGTATTCAACGGTTTTTTTTAACCGCGGTGTAGTCATTAGTAACCGCGGTGGTGAGTACCGCGGTATTCAACGGTTTGTAAAACCGCGGTATAGTCATCAGTAACCGCGGTGGTAGATACTGCGGTAGTCAACGGTTTAAGAAACCGCGGTATGGTCATCAGTAACCGCGGTAGTAGATACTGCGGTAATGAATGGTTTAAGAAACCGCGGTAGTAATTTCTCAAGTGATTTATTGAATACAGCAAAAATCAGAATGTTACAAAAATTATTATAGAGAACATCTTTTTTTTGTTGTTAAATTTATGACTTTATTCAATACTTGATAATTCGGTCACATTCGTTCGGCCATTGTCAAAAGTCGATGTTGTAGGTATTTTTCTACTTTCTGTGAGTTTATTTGTTGTTGATAATTATTATTGTTAGCATCATTATCTATACCAAACCTGCAGTATCTCATGTTGATATTGTTGTTTCTTCTAACGAAGAACCTTTGCCATACATTGTATTTGTTGGGTAGGTATTATTATACCTGTTGAATAAAATTTCTACTAAATCATCAATATAAATGAAAACAAATTATATATTTATTTTATTGTTATATATTTCTTTATTTTATCAATCTATGCTTTAGATTGTAATTTAATACTATATCGTTCAATCTCATATATGATTGTGGACGTATAGCAAATACAATACTTCACCGATTAGCTGTATCTATTCTCGAATAACAATTTTTAACAAGAAACAATCTGACAGAAAATAAAAAAATATCCACAACATCAATTTTTGACAATGGTCGAATGAATCAGACCGCAATGCCAAGTATTGAATGAAGTCATAAATTTAACAACAAACAAGATATTTTCTGGGTGGGGGTGTGGGTGTGGGTGTGGGAGGAGTCTGGTTGAACTAAACACTCACAACTATATCCACACCCACACCCACACACCCACACACCCACACCCACACCCACACACCCACACACCCCCACCCACACCCACACCCACACCCNAAAGTGTGATGTACAGATAATAATTGATTTATTTTAAGGGCCCCTCCCCCTCAGAAATCAACTTTGTTATTTTTCATCCGATTTCAACCAAAATTTCAGAGAATGTTTTAGTCTAGGCTAAGATAGATTACGGTTAAAATTCTCCCCCCTTCAAAAAAATCAATTTTGGTCAAATTTATCGATTTTGTGATTTATAACTCATTAGATAGAGCAAAGTGTCTACTCTCGAATACACTATAGTTGATTGATTTTATGATGAGCTTTAAGAATATTACATAAGTTTTTCTGAACCTCCATATTAGAAAAAATAAGGCTTTTAAAAACTTATTTTCCGTTTTTCTCAAAATCAATTTTTTCGAGTATACCGTTTACGCGGGCACGCCTTTCTTAATAACGACTCAATAGAGAAGGGATAATTTTTTCTTATTGCATAGAGGACAAGTGGGACTAGATCCTAATAGAGCCCGATTTTTGAATTTCTCTTCTGCTGAAATAAAAAACTTGAATCTTTAGTTTTGTTTAGCGACTTTTTTGACCATGAATTCGAGAATTTTTCGAAAAACGTTTTTTAAAAAACAAGCAAAGGGAAATTCAAAAATCGGACTCTATTAAGATCTAGGCCTAAGGGTATACTCTACAATTTAAAAACCACGCCGACATATTTAGCTAATATCCTCATATTGAAAATCTTGCCCGCGTAAAGGGTATTTTTGACCAATGAATCGACTAGAACTTGTGCATATCTTTGAGATTTGGGGGAGAATTTTAACCGTAATCTATCTTAGCCTAGACTAAAACATTCTCTGAAATTTTGGTTGAAATCGGATGAAAAATAACAAAGTTGATTTCTGAGGGGGAGGGGCCCTTAAAATAAATCAATTATTATCTGTACATCACACTTTATCAACGGTAAGTTAACAGAAAGATAATAATAATTCAATTTTGCAATATAATCGGAATAATAGTTCGTTCGAAGATGATAATCACAAAGAAGATAATAGTTGTGATCATTCAATTACAATTCGATGAAAAAACAATACAAAAGTCTTTGGAAGAATATCGAAATCTATTTCTCAACAATGTAATATCAGACTGAATTTAACATTATTTTTCTATTTGAAAGAACCAAGTTTGAAGAATATTTACATAAAAAACAAAGATGTTAGGAAACGATCATTTTTAATATCGTTCCCGCCGAACACTATTAAAGGTGCTCCGAAGCTACTTCTTTATTAATGAAATAAGCAAGTAAATACTGTCAAACATCACACATATTGTTTATTTGTTTAGTTCGAAGTGTTGCATCTTATGGGTAAAGTTTATTAAAAATTAATTTGTAAAAGTGAAATACATATTTCATGTAACCATAAAACATCTGTTGCGCGTCTAATCAATTTTGTTTTGCAAATGATAACGTATTGAAATGCATCTTTTTAAATTATTCAAAATATGTTTAATATCGTGGGCGTAAATTCGAACAAGTTTCTTGAAGATAGAAGTGTCCAAATAGTTTCTGATTACGTATAAAACACATCTGAAAGCAAGCGCTTTTAATGTTGCATCTGACTACATTTATAATTCCAAATGATTTAAAATTGAATATGATTAGACACTCACCATTGAAGATATGTAGTTGTGTGGAGGAGTCTACGAAAAATTAATTTTATCCCATTTTGCTTTTATGCTACCCAAACTACAATGATCTTGATACTTTAGTCCCTTTAATTCTTTTAATACGTTTAGTCCCTTTACTCACTTTAGTGCCTATTGGATGTCGGTGTGGGTGTGATATGTGGAGGTAGGTATTAGTGAATCTTAAGGTAAAAGAACGTTCAGACAAAGACAAAGATCAAGACCTACATACCGATACCCACTCACTCTCACCCTTGCCTGCACCGCACCCACATCCACACACTAAGCATAAAAGTAAAGCGAAAAAAAAAATTTTTTTGTAGACCCAACGGGTGCCCTATAATAAATGGTCGCACTTTGCATGTTATATTTTAATTGCTAACTATGCGCAAAATAAGTCACTAGATGCAGCGTGAAGAGCTTTACAATTTACACAGGACCGCCAATTTTACAGTTGTAATTTTTATGTTCAAATTCGACAAAATTCTGAGCGATCAAATTTCGACGCTGCAAAAACCATGTTTTTTTGCTAAACGACGAATTCGTTTTTTCTTTATTTCATCTTCTTTTCACCGGATATATTTCGTCGAAAGAAAAATCAAAATACACCATAAGATGCAGCATGAAAAGCTCTACAATTTATAAACAATAATTGTTTTTATCTATGGATCTTTTGTTTTCGAAAGAAGTAAAATTCTGAGCCACCAATTCTTAAGGCTGCGAAAATTCTAAACAGACGAGGAATTCCTTTTTTCGTATTTCATCTTTTTATCACCTAATTCGCTTTCTGAAAAAAAAAACACAATATATCACAAGATGCAGCGTGAGAGACTGTACAATATACAAAGAACAGTTTATTTTAATTGTGTACTTTTTGTTTTAAAAAAAAAGCAAAATTCTGTGGACCACTTTTCGCAACGTTGAAACTTGATCGTTCAGAATTTTGTCGATTTTGAACACAAAAATTACAACTGTAAAATTGGCGGTCCTGTGTGAATTGTAAAGCTCTTCACGCTGCATCTAGTGACTTATTTTGCTTTTTTAATAAAGCATATTTAGTAATTAAAATATGACATGTAAAGTGCGGCCATTTATTATGGGGCACTCGTTATGTGACTGTTTGCTGCTAATCCACACTCATCAGAACCGTTGCCAAGCAGCAGCGGGTAAGGAAAGCTAAAGAAAACTCAGTCCCTTAGGCCAAAATCCCGACTCCAGTACTGATCTGAAGATTGCCCTCACTCTGCTTTTTTTTAAGAGAAACTATGATTCATATGGATAGTATAAAAATTAAAATGCGAAATTAACTAACCTGCATGAAAATAGATGGAGAGGAACTGAGATGATAGAATAAGAAAGTCAAAACTTGAGAAAAACTCTCATACAACATGAATCGTCCTATGGGATTCGATAAACCAACTGGTCCCATAGAATGATCTTTTCATCCCATTCAAAGTTCTGATTGTGAAGATGATAAACAAATATGCACTGATCTGCTCTTTGCAAATCTAACCTCTTTGAATGAATTGAAAATATCAAAACTAATCTTCTAATTAAAGATCACTAGAAATTTTACAAAAAAAAATATTAACAACAACACCGTATGACTCGTTGCATGGTAATAATTTAACAGAGTTTTTTTACCTTGGTATCATATTAGTTAAAACTTTTTCTTTTTTCTGCACTTGCGCTCCCTAGTAGGTAATATTTTTTTCTTCTATAATTTTCAAATATGCTCTCCTATGCTACAGTCATAAAATTTATTGCTAGAATGCTGGTAAAAACAAAACATTTTTCAGTAGAAGAACAATATAAAATAGTTCAAAGGTATTACCAACAAAAGCGTCTAATCGCAAAGAAGCATAGCGTGCGAAGGTTGTTTGATAGTGTTGACAGAGGAAAAAAATTATGTTTACCTAAAAGCACATTAAAACGGAGCTATTAAATGTCTTTTCCCAGTTGAAGAAACACTCTCTAAATTAAATATAAATACGCATTCAGCTGCATTACAAAGAAAGAAGAATGTATTTAAACGTAAAAATAACTTTTTTTTTCTCCAAAATTCGGTATTGAAATGAGTTTTTGCCCAATTCTTTTTTATAATCATTATATCATATCAACTAAAGATTATTTTGTCATTGGCTGAATGGCTACACAAGTGTACAACAACAAATGATATTTAAAGCATTTTACAAATTTAAGCCAAACAGCTTTTATTGATTTAATTGTTTTTGTTTTTACATATATCAAATTATTGTCAATTATGTTACAAAAAATTAGAAAAACAAAATTCACTTATTCACTATTTTGTTTTCTCTCCTTTTTCTGTCTCGCAATTCTTTTCATTATTTTTCGACAAAATTTCATTCTACAGAAAGAACACATGACATCACTAATCCCAAATATATTTAATATTAAAATGAATCAAACTAATCAACAAAACTACTCAAATGTTGACTATGTTGAAAAAAATTTGATTTCTTCAACATCAGAAAAATCTTTAGTATTAGAAATCAATAAACATACCACTAGTTTCACAGATTCAAAATTTATTCATCAAAATAATAAATTAGAAACAACTATTCAATGTATTGGTTCATTATATAATCAATCTTGTTTGTATCATAATTTATATTATGTTGATAGTGCATTTATGATTTTAACTGTGAAAGGACAACATTTACCTTCATATTCTGTACGAACAGATGCCTTTGTACTATGGCCTACAACACCAAACAAACGTGTTTTTGATTCATATTCTGATCTTGAAAAATTTGTTCGTACTGTTATTGATCCAAGAATAATTCCATCTGTTACTCTTCATTTTGGTCAACCTTGGCATTTCAATATTGGTCATGCACTTTTTGATGGACTTTATCCAGCATATGTTGCACTTATTCGTTTTTCTCCAAGACATCTTCATCCTTTTCGTATTCTTGCTGGAGTAGATGACTGCAATGATTGTTGGAGTGAAGATATTTATAGTCGTTTTGGTGGTCTTGGAATTCTTAAACAAAGAGTTCTGAATAAAATGTCAAAAGGAAATTGGTTTATGTTTGAAGAACTTGTTATGGGTAGTGGAACAATGTGTCAACGTTGTACACAACCTAATTTACAATTACCTGGAGGTATTGAATTAGATGCTTCAAGACTTTTTCGTGATAGAATGTATCAACAACATGGTCTTATTCATCCAATCATTCGACAAAAATCTTCATCTGAAAGACGAACGTCTCATGATCTTCTTTTAGGATATATTATTGATAATAAACGTTTTACAAGTGGAGATCGAAAAGAAATCGATGCTGCTATAAATGAAATAAATAATTATACGAATTTTCATTTGAATAAAACTATAAATAGAACAACTAAATTGCAATGGCCATTAGTTCGTGTCTCTTACCTTTTCTATAATCAAGTTAGAGCTCAAAACCTTAGTTCCATTCAAATAAATGCGACATCAACCGATTCTCGATCGCCAATATATGAATTAATTGAAAATAATTTCATAGGTCAACTAAAAATTTTACGTCAAATGGATATTCATATTACTGGACCTGGTACTGGACAAATGTATCAAACATTTTTATCAGATGGATCTGTAACTATTAATCTTGGAGGTATAAGACCACCGGAATTAGAAAATACAGAAAGGGCATATAGTTCATATTTTGAACAACATATGACAAGTGGTACACCTTATATCAAAGGTCTTTACTATCCAATTAATAAAAGACCTAAAGGTATTAAAAAAGATGAAGTTATTAAATTAATTCGACAAGCTTCACGACTTATTCTACAAGGTTTTTCATTACCAGTAAATGCTTATGATAATCTAGCATCTGATGGAAAATTATTTGTTGAAATGTGTGAAAAAGATAAAGAATTTTGTTCTTTAGTTACAAAAAGAATACCGGAAACAGGTTTTGGTTGTTTAGATTTTTGGACAGAAGATTTTGTTCATGAATATCGGCAATGGCAATTAGGAGGTTTTCTTGATAATGGTCGAAATATTAGTTGTCCTTTTAATCGTTCATTATTACATGAGTTAAGAAAAAAATATGGAATTCATCACAAAGAAACGAACAATTCATCAAAAAATGCCACACATAACTCTGTTCGTTGATTGATATAGAATAAATCTTTCTAATATCAGTATACGTAAAACACTTAAGATAAAATGTTACGAAAACCAACACATAGATAAAGTGCGAAAATTATTCAACAACAAGGTTACATTTTTTTCGTTCTCTGTATATTTCAATTATCGAATAACAAAAGTTCTTATTATGTTTACTAATTTAGTGTTTATAGTAGGGGTGGCACTTTAACTTTACTTTTAAAGTTAAAGTTACAGTAAAACACTTTAACACTTCAATTTTAAAAAACCAGAGTTAAAGTGAAAAATAATGTTTAGCTCTTCATGATCAATTCTCTCTTTGTTTTAAGAGCAACTTGAAACTATAAAATTATAGTGCCACCCTAGTTTACTGTTGAGTATGTACTTTAGAAAGTTGCAAATGACAATTCAAATAGGTTGGATTTTTATTGAAAACAACCGATTAGGATGTATGATTTTTCACGGTCTCAAAATCTTTCAAGAAATCAATAAAAATACATTTTTCTTCAACAAGCGGTCACAAGATTTGATTGGTTCAACCTGACATGATCAACCACATACAGCGGTCCAAAAAGAGGATTTACAAAAGACAATTATCGATAAGACCATTTTTTGCCCAAAATATTCTTGAAAACAGATTGCATCTTCGGAATCATCATTCAATTCTGAGTGAAATGAGGTAGCTTTTTCTGTCGTAAAACGACTTTCATTTTTTAAGTGCAGTTTTGAACCTGTTGAGGACCTCAGGACCATTAAAAAAGAAGTTTTTTCAAACTGTTTTGATTATTATATCATCAGATGCAAAATGTGATGCTGATTCTAAGTTTTGTGGTCGAAATTCGAAAATAATGAAGTTTTCGCCGGGAAAACCTATTTTATCATAGGATGCTAGTAGAGAGCTGCTTCCAGTTGCTGGCGTGCGGGAACTTAGTAACGACACTATAAAGTCTACAACGGATGTAGTCATGTGCCAATCTGCTTGTCCTATCCGAAACATGAAAAAAGGGCGATTTATACTCGAGTTCTAGACAGTTTTAGTATCAAATACTTAAGAAACCAGCAAACCAACCAGGTTTTGCGGCAATTTGGCCTTAAACTACAGGATAAAAAGATCTCTAACCAACGAGTGACATATATAGATCGATGCAGTTTTTCATACTCTTTCTGAATACGCCTTCAAAAGTAAGCAAAAATATGTAGAACATGCTTCAATACAGCAAATATTCGAACGAGAGCAGAAAAGTT